ACCTGCAATTATGGGATGTCATCTGTGATGCAACACAATGCTGTATAATCAAGAGTCTCTTGTCATATAGTGCCGAGCACACATCACTACACCGCTCTGCTCAATCATGTATGTATTGGATCTCAAGGCTCAGTTCTTCCATTTGTGATGGGTTTTACTTTTTAACAATATCTTTGTCTACAGTATTTTTCAAGGTCATTTTTAGGACCTCTGCAGAGCTGGGCTCTTATTATAATGTGTTTGCATGGCTTTATATAACAGAGGTTCCCAAAGAAGTTTGTTTTGAATGCAGTGGGGGTGAGAATGGGCCCCATAATGTTTGTACTATGATTCTACAGAGACACCATTACAAATGATAAGAAATAGTGTATTGTGTATTTTAAAGGATTTTCCTTACGAATACACAGCGGAACTCACTTGGTGACTATGGTAGCTCTGCTGTAAAGGTGAACTTAGCCTCTCATGGCTGTTCTGGATGGAGAAGGAATTCTCACTATCGTGGTCTCTGTGGAGAATGAATTCTTCCATAGTACACCCAAACAGAAGCATCTTTTATGGAATGAGTTGCTTTTTACTGTTTGTCTACTAAAAATCCTGAACAAGGAACTTTAAAATATATAATCTTTTTGAGCTTTGCAGCCAGTACATTTGTGTAAAATATGTAACCTTTCGTAAGGTGTATTATTTTTATTTCCCCTAGTTACATCCTTGGATTCCTACTCTCTATGGATAGGACGATATTGTAACAGGCTACTTTTTTTTAGAACAGTTTACAGGCTTATATAGAAGTAGGAAAGAGTTAAGGGTACCAAGCTCTGTGTGAAATTTCTGTTTAGTAAACAGGAAGTTACAAGGATACTGGATTTCTAAAGGAATCAACAGGATTTATTTGTACTTTTAGAAAACTTAATTGGCCTGAAAAAAATAAAAAAATGCAGTCACCACATCTGAGGTCTGCTAAGCTGCAGTATATTGTATTGTTGTTTTTGGATTTAGATACACTTTAAGTAAGGATGCCACTGTTCTTTAACCATTTACAAAGACTGAGATGACGGGAGACATCCAGGCATAGGAACCCATAATTAAAAGGTCCCTGTAATATAGGGAAAGTGGCAAGGACAAGTGAAAGCTGTAAGATAACACAAGTGTATGGGAAGAGATTAGAGTTGTAAGTGCTGCCACAAGAATGTTAAGCCTTGAATGAGAGGAGGAGAGTTTTGTAATTAACACAGACGTGAATGGGAAGCTGGCAGCAATAGATATCTAAGTGGTAATGAAAAGCTGTGAATCTAATGATGATCTGCTGAACAGATCATGATAATAAGAGGGATCAGTCCCCTTAAAACATCACCTATTTTACATAACATTGTACCTTACAGTTTTCTGTAATTTGTGCAGCATTTGGGACGTCTTACACTAGCAATTACAATTCCTCAGTTCTGTGTTATCTTTGGATCTTCCTGGAAATAATTTCATATATACGATCATGTTTTCTAAGAGGAAGCAACATTCAAATGTCTTCATAATTTCTGGCTTGAACTATACATTTAAAAGTGTTTTTCAACATCTGTAAAATGGACCTTGTAGGAAGAATTTTTGGGTGCGCATTGCCAACATAAATATCTACAGAGGCCTGTGACGTTATCATTAATACAATGCTTCCATTGTTAGAACTGGAGACGGTAAAGGAAAAAGGTAATATGCAATGCATTTGCTGTGCAGCACTTAAAGGGGAAAAGGCACCTCAAACATCTTGCTATACATGTAAAGCTATTACTGTTGCTGCCGAGCTTAAAAAAAATTGTTTTGGTGCCAAGTTGGGATTCCCTACATTCCAAAACCTAGGGAAACAGCATTTTTGTTTTACTTGTATAATCTGTTTCGTGTAGTACATCACAGTACACAAGGAGTTAATTATTGAATCAATTGGTTATGTGGATTAATGGGAAATGTGGATCACAGAAAACAGAAGGGAGGGCCCTGTGTCCTGTGATGTATTCCAGGGAACAGATTTTACGGTAAGTAAGACAATAATCCAGTTTTCTTGATTGTACATCACAGAAAATAGGAAGTTAGTTCTGGAACCAATGGGACAACCAAAAGCAGCCCAACAAAGGCAAGGGCCAACATACCTGTGAAATACACAAACAGACTAGAACAAGGAACTATAAACAGAAGGGACCAACAATCCAGAGAGCCACCTGAAGAATTTTGTGACCGAAGCTGGCATTTTCCAAGGCCTGGACATCCACCTGGTAGAACTTGACAAAAATGTGAACTGAGGACCAGGTTGCAGCCTAACATATTTGGGTACTGAAGCCTAATGCTGAAAGATCCAAGAAGAACTAATGCTTCTTGTAGAGTGAGTATTGATTGGAAAGGGGGGAACTATACTCTTTAGTTCATAGGCCTAGGAAATAGTTTGATGAATCCACCTAGCAATAGTGGAACTACGCTGGTGGCCACATGTGTGGATGGAAGGAGGAGGGCAACTTAGTGAGTGAGTAAAGTCAGAGGGATATCTCGGAGAGGTTCAAAAGGTGGCTTCTAAAGAGTTGACAGAACCCAGTTGTTCAGAACCCAAGTCCTTCAGAGTCACCTGAGTATGTATACAATATGAGCGACCCCATGCACAAAGGCTTTCACTAGTGAGTGAGGAGCAATTAGTCCCAAAAGAGAATCGCAAAAGCAAAAATTTGACCTTCAAAGTACTCAAGGCTAAACACAGGCCAGACTGGAGGTGCAGCCTTTGAGGAGATCATCAGCAAGTTTGACAACAGGAAGCAAATGGGAGACAGGAAGCGAAACTCCAGTTTGTAACCCTTGGTCACTATGCTATGGAACCAGGCATCAGGAAATATTATTATTATACAGGATTTATATAGCGCCAACAGTTTGCGCAGCGCTTTACAATATAAGGAAGACATTACAGGTACAATACAATTCAAGACAAGATGGTAAGAAGGCAATGTCCCAGATCCAGGAGGCGGAGAAGACCGACAGATTTCCCTCCCTTTTAAAAGCAAGGGTGTGTTCCCGGGTTTTGCAATCTTGAAGGGCAAGAACTTACGACATGAGGACCAGAGCACCACCTGGTATAGGCAGCAGCTTCTGGAATAAGTCTACCCACAGATCTAATGTACAGGGGGTATAGCTAGAATGGGGAAAGGGGGCTGTTAAGAGCTGTTTCAAATCACAGTTTTCTTTTAATGTGAAAGGCAATCACATAGACCAATGGTGGGCTTGGGGTTGAGAGGGACCTGACCAAGTTTAACTTCTATAATAGCTTCAGCCACATATATCATGGGACCTACTGGTTATTATGACATGGGGTTTTCACTGGAGGTAATGCTTAAAGTGTATTTCCACTTTCGCTGCCAAATTGGCATAACCCCTATTTTATATTTGTTACATGTTCCCATTCACATAGCAATTTAAACTGCAAGAAGCCTTTTTTTTTTTAGCTTATGCTTTTACATAGGTTAGGGTTTAAGGGTTACAATGTATTCTTTCTTTGAAATGTTAGGAGGGGCTGTGAGGAGAGAAGGTTCTGAGGTGGCTTGTCCATTGTATGTTAATGAAGCTTATCAGATAAACACAATCGTCAAATTTCAGTCCCGAGCCTTTCCAACAGGACAGACCACTGTGAAAGGGTTAAGAAAAACCTGGAATCAGCCATCTTGTCTGCTTTAATAAAACATCGAAAAAAAGGTAAGAATATTATTTTAAAAGTTATTTTTCAGTATGCTGTGTGACTAGGAATACATAACGAACATATACAGGGTTTTCTCAAATTTGACTGCAAAAGTGGAAATAAACTTTAAGCTTTTTTTCATTATTATCTTAATGGATTATGTGTGTGAGACATGATTAGACAAAGCAGACTGAATTATGTCCAAGTGTTTGCTATAATCCATTAAAATGAACCTGTCACAACCCCTGTAGCAAGATCAAATACACCATTAGATGATCATAAAATATAATACCCTCTTAAATGTCTTTATGTCATTTAGAACATCTACTGGTGATAAAGTTTCAACAAGGCTGACCACACATGAGCAGGGCAGCCCGACTCAACCAAGAGAAGAGTACATGCTGCCTGATCCATTATAATAGCCAAATCTGACTGATCTGTATGTTTTGCACTTGCTCTGCTTTTCTGGATTACGTGTGGATAATAGTAGTGGTCATATGATCACTGGATACAAATGCCAATGAGTTCTTTCGATGACTGGATTAACTTTCCCAGCTAGTGGTTATCTGACCAGATATCTGCTGTCTTTGAAAGTCTCCTTCACCGTTTACAAAGCTTGTTATCTGCAAACGTGGCCTAACATAGCCTAATCTACATTACAATCAGGTTGTGAATGAACATCGTTCCTTTTATACAGATTCTCCTTGGACTGTAATTCTTTTCTGTAGCTACTTCAGTTGTTTGTATTTTTCTGTGATTCGCGAAGCACAAACTAAGCACAAACTGTGTATAAAAAAAGTATTTACCCCTTTCGAAGTTTCCCTATGTTATTGTCACAGACCATTGAAACACAATGGATTTCATTTCAAATGTCTTTTTTTAACACGGATTAACAGATGATATATACTTTTTAACATCAAAGTGGAAACAGATTTTTGCAACGTGAAAATGACTGACTGAATAAGTATACACCCCCTTCAATATGACACATGTAAATTATCACTGGTGCAGCAAATTACTTTCCAGAGTCACATAATTAATGAAATTGAGATCACCTGTGAATAACTTGTGGGTGAGTGAAAGTAGTATATATGCAGATGTACCTGGAAGGTCCAACTCATGGTGGGTCAGTGTCGTGGTATAACCCACACCAAGAAGAAAAGAAATACAAAACTTAGAAAAAGGTGATAGAAAAAAACAAGTGATGGGATGGCTGGATGGTTTATATTGATGGCAAGATATACACCTTTAAATCATTGAAAATAGTAAAACAGAGCAATAATGCTCTCAGATAGTATTTACTTACCATGGTGCCAAATTTCAGGGTGCCCGTGAAAATATGACCCAATTCCATGGCCAATAAATTGGGGACAGACTTGCAAATTGTTCTCTTCAGCAATGTGGCTGTAATATAAAAAATTAAATAAAAACACAATTAATACATTTTCGTTTTCCTGAGTTTTTGAATAAGTGTTACAGCCAATCCATGAGTGACACAAGTTCAGCCTTTAGCCCTGATGGAATGAAAAATTACAGGCACATATTAAGGGAAGGATTAAAGCCTCTGTTGGGTTTTTATTGTTGACCGAGTCCCTTTGAGATTTTTCCCTCAATTACAGTTAGGGCAGGATAAGATGGGAAAGTTCTCTGAGGGCACAGACCAAAACAAAAATGAATTTTTAGTAACTTAAGTAAGAGTTAGAACTTATGGTGAAGTTTTTTTTTTTTTGTCCATGCCTTCCTGTAACAATGACAACGTGTACAGACATCAGTAGGACACTATGTAGGGAAAGCACAGTCGCTTAGTGGTTAGCAGTCCTGCCACACTAGGTCCTCGGTTCAAATGCCAACCAGAACACTAATTGCATGGAGTTTGCATGTTCACCTTGTGCTTGCTTGGGTTTACTTGAGGTACTCCGGTTTCCTCCCACACTCCAAAGACATGCTGGTAGGTTAATTGGCTCCTGTCTAAATTGGCCCTGTATGTGTGAATATGTATGTGAATTAAGGATCTTAGATTATAAGCTCCTTGAGGGCAATGACAGATGTGACTATACAAAATGTAAAGCGATGTATAAACCATGTGACAGTGGACAGGAGGGGACAAGAAATCTTCACAACATATGGCTAACTCACTAACTCTTCCCAAAACTAGGGAAAACATGTTTTAGCTGAAGTAGGGTCTTATAGTTTCTAGCAAGGTAACACCTGCCCCAAAGCGCTCTGTAGACAAACAAGTACTTAAACACATGACCA